AGATACTCAGAATTTTTGGTATCTGATCGGTATCGGTTCTGAAAAAGTGGTATCGAGCCATCCCTAATTTTATTTTACCCATCAGATTGTCCTACCAGGGTTTACTGCGCATGCGCACATAAATATTGCATCCTTTTTAACTTAAATTTACAATTAAATACCGTAATTTCATTAACTGATATAATGTTAATATACCAACCTATTGAAGTACTGAAATCTGTTTTGTACCTTTGTAATGCACTGATAACCACCAAATGCTGGTGGTGATGAGAAAGTCACATGATGAACCAAAGCCCATCACAAGCAGCTTTTAAATAATAACATATATAGAAGGCGCACAGTGTCATTCACACAAACACTAAACACAATCATGGTAACACATGAAACTGAAATAATGCAATAAACATTCATTTAACAACATTAGGTGTAACACACAACCCTAATATACAAAACTGAAGAAGAAACAGTTATTTCAACAAAAAAACCATCAAATTTGAAATGTAACGCAGGGAATTCTGGGAATGTCAATTTACGGTTATTCACTGTAAATTAAACGGTATTTTTCACTTCCAAAAACGGTATACTACCGTAAAATTAATGTCCAATACATCAAATGCAGTGGTGTTGAGAAAGTCACATGATGAGCCAAAGCCCATCACAAGCAGCTTTTAAATAATAACCTATATAGAAGGTGCACAGTGTCATTCACACAAACGCTAAACACTGAAATAATGCAATAAACATTCATTTAACAACATTAGGTGTAACACACAACCCTAATATACAAAACTGATAAGAAAAAACTAAGAAGAAACAGTTATTTCAACAAAAAAACATCAAATTAGAAATGTAACGCAGGGAATTCTGGGAATGTCAATTTACGGTTATTCACTGTAAATTATACGGTCTTTTTCACTTCAAAAAACTGTATACTACCGTAAAATTAATGTCCAATACATGTAATGTCCAATACAGTTTTTCACCGTATATAGTAGGGGAATTTACCGTTAACCATTTAACAGGTTTTTACTGTAGCATTTTTACAGTCTTTTACCATTAAATTCACGGTCATTTTTTACAGTGTAGGTTTAGGGTTGGGGTAGGTGTACACTTTAATAAAACACAATCTAATAGGTAGAAAAAATTATTTATTGTTGGTTTCCTGTAGCTGTATCCCTTCTAGCTACAACCGCGAATATAACACATAATTACTTTATTTGCATTGCTGTAAGGGTAGGTTTAGGGTTGTGGTAGGTGTAGACATTAAAAAAACATAATTTTACAGGTAGCATTTTTCGTTGTCGAATTGTACTACCCATGGGAGGTAGCAAAATCTGACAGGGTAGCACAAATCGACAGGACAAGTGACAGACAGACACATATAATGGTGTCCTGTATGGAAAGATGTTTCCTAGCTGACAGTTGTCCATTGTCACTACCCCTCTTCGACTGATTGGCTAGAGGAGGAGCTGTCAATCTAGAACTAGTGGACCAACGATGATGCTTAAGCCCGCCTTGATTTACATTAAACTCTAACCGCAACATTTGGAAAGGAAAGGACGTGACGTGACGTGTGGCCAAGTATGGTGTCCCATACTTGGAATTTGTGCTCTACATTTAACCCATCCAAGTGCACACACACAGCAGTGAGTAGTGAACAAACACACACACACACAACGTGAACACACGGCGCCCAATCTTTACATCGCATTTGGAAGAAGAAGCACAGAACGTGGAATAAAGAGCGAAGGGAAAAACAGCACAAGCATACAAAAAATAAAAATATGTGCAGAAAATGTCTGAGCACAAAAAACAGAGAAATATAACCAAGGAAAACATGATTTTGCATGCAATTCGGATAATTTTGCATTAATATTTCAGTTTTGTGCAATATGATTTTAAATGTGTTTAAAGTTTTGATTCGTGCTTATTATTTTTTTAAATGCGTTATTAAATTTTGATTTACACATTATTTTTTGATCCGTGACCATTGTTTGCTATTCTGAAAACTTTGCTTTCGTTTTTTAAATTTTGTGCAATATAATTTAACTTGCGTTTTTACATTTTGGTTTCACGCTTGTTATTTTTTTATCCGTGACTGCAATACAATTGACATGAATCTGATCCTATACTCTTAAGCGCTCCCAACAACTGTTTCGAAACAAATGGTTCGCAAAGGTTTTAAAGCTTCATGAAGCAGTGTTTCAAAAGCGGCCATCACTACAAGAGACTACATCAAGGCCCAATCCCAATTCTATTTTATACCCCTTCCCCTTGTGCCTTGAAACAGAGTGTCAAGGGGTAGGGGTGAAAATATTCCCCTAAGAATTGGGACACCACTACTATGCCGTCACACGTCATCTAGCTCCTACAATACACACACCTATACTGGTGTGCTGGTGTGCATTAGAGCCTTTAATTACCGTTCTATATTAATGCACTGCTTACTGACACACACACACACACACACACAGAGATCGCGCAGCTCACACATCCGGGAGCAAGATACTTGTCAACGCTGCCCCACGACTTTTTTAAATAACAGTTTAAATACTGAATCGCTACATTATCTTTTCCAGCAACAAGAGGAAAAGATCGCTGTTTTTGAAGTAAACTCACTCTAAAAATATAAACGCACAGACGCGCATACACGCAACTTTCATCTCTCTCTCTCTCTCTCTCGCTCTCGAATTTGCAATATTTGAGAAAAGGGTCTGGCGATTTATAATTATTGGGGGGACCAGCCCCCCTCAATGTCTACGGTGGTTATCGCCCTGATCAGACATGAATATATGTTGTGGCACTATCGTGCAGTCTGTAATGATATGACGTTAGCAAACTTTAGCGATTTTTTGCAAACATTTCTTTGAGTAACATGACCGTAAATATGAACTCACGATTGAAAATAACAAA